TTTCCCCACCCCCCACTTCTTCCCACCCAGGCTAGCTCCCAAATCCAAAGCCTTTCCCCATCATATCCCTGGGCCAGCCCCCGCACCTCTGACTCTCGGCCAGCTTGGAGTGCACCAGTGTGAGTCCTGTATGGTTCCCCCCTCGCCCTCTGGACTGGACTTGCACCTCACCAGATAAGTCTGCTAGTTAGGGTATGTTTTTAAATTTTTATTGATTGGGGAATGTGCATTATAGGCTCTCATGAAAAGTGCAAACAGCATGAAAGTGTTGAAATATGCTTTGTAATGTCTAATAAGTGATTCCTTAAAATATGTTATTTTTTACCTGTGTTTCTAGGTGTTCAGCAGAAAAACTTGGTTGTTACCTGTAACTATGAAGCCAGGAAACTTGGAATTAAGAAACTTATGTCTATTAGAGATGCTAAAGAAAAATGCCCCCAGATGGTGCTAGTTAATGGAGAGGACCTGACACAATACAGAGAAATGTCATACAAAGTTACAGGTACAGGTTAACTGTTTTAATAGTGGGAAATAAGTACTGTTTATATGATAAGAATATTTTCCTACATAAATATTTCTGATTTTAAATGAGCTTTAGAAAGTTGCCATAAGGCTTATAAAGATGCCATCTAAATCTGTGATTGGATCAGTTTTCACAAACTAAGCAGTTGGGCTCAGCCATTATCTAAATTAAAGATGCATGCTGGATTAAAATTGTGCAGAATCTTTAGAATATTTTCAAATGTAAGGTAAGTTTCAAGCTGTCATGACTGCAGGAAGGACATTCTAAAAATGAACTCCTGGAAACTCATGCCATGGCATCTGGCTGATTCTGGATGAGTAAGCGACTCAGAAGTATGAACTCCCCTGTCCTTGTTGTTCTTTTTCAAGGGGTTGATAATGAAGTCCACAGGATTGGGATTTATAGTTGCTGCAGGAAAATAACTACAGAAATTACAAACTTGAAGACTCACAAAGAAAAGAAGGAAAGAAGCAGAGAAAGGAAGTAAATCAGGGTAAAATAGCAGTGGCCTAAAGGGAAACACTAATTGCTGAAGAGACTATAAGATATTGACTAAGTATATTTTAGTATTACCTTGAGGCTATGTTCTCCCTTTGAGTTCTGTACAAATTTCTCACTTAGATCAGTGGGAAATCCACTGTAGAGTGTATAGAATCCCAAGTTTACATTATTATACTATATGAAATAAGGGTGTTAAGGACCAGTTGAACCCTCCCCCTTTGCTGCCTCTATCAGAAGCAGAAAAAGGGGGGGGGGAAAAGGGTACTTCAAAGTGGCAGCACTGCACGAAGCCCATACCCTCGGCTCCAAGCGACGCAGCCACTTTGAAACACTGCTGCAGCCCCAATGGGCTTCATGCTGCCTGCGTGCTGCTGGTTGCCCACCACTGAGCCACACTCTAGCTTTCGGCAGCCTTGGTTACTGCTTGCAGAGTGACCCTATGCACTCCTGGATTTTCCTCAGAAACTTGTGTTTTTTCAGTGCCGAGAACCTGGACAGTCCAGATGTTAGAGATCTGTTGCCACTGTAAGGGATCAGTGTATGGTACTTTAAGTGGAGTTACTAAGAAATTCAGTTTAAAGGCAACAGTGGATTAGTTTTGATTAAATAATAAACCAAGTATCAGAGGGTTAGCCGTGTTAGTCTGAATCTGCAAGAACATTGAGAAGTCCTGTGGCACCTTCAGCTTATGTTTATAATGTTGTTGCTTCACATTTTTTCACTATAATATTATTGTCCAACAAGCTATTAGTTTTTAAGTGATACCTCGCAAAGTGTATTTTATACAAAGATTATTACAGTGCTGTATAGGATGTCAGTACAAGGATGCATTTGGTCATAAACACTTAGTCGGTTCCAGTCTTTAAAGTGCTTAAAAGAGGGTCTCCATCTTCAGAGCCCTGCATAGATACAAAATTGGTATACACATCTGTAAAAACGATCTGCAAACGCAGTTACCTGCAGGTATAAAGCAGATTTGCAGGGCTCTGTTCATCTTGATTAAAGAGTCGTATCAGTTTGTTGGGTCTCAAGAATGGCTTGGTTTGAACTAGTATAATATGCAATTCATCATGGGATTGATACCTTTCTGAGTAAGAGTTTTTGTCCCAAGGTTTGCAGTAATTCTCGCACCCCACCCTCACTTTAGGTCCTGGGATTGAGCTCAGTAACATTCCACCCCTGCCAGCATACCCTCACTTACAGAAATATGGTTGAGACAAGATAGGTGAGGTAGTATCTCTTACTTGACCAGCTTCTGAGAAAGTTTTGCTTTTAAACAGAGCTTTTTTCCTCAGGTCACCTTTTCTCCTTAATGGGACAATCACAGCTACAGCAACACTGCATATAACAGAGCGACAGTTAACATGTATAAAGTAGTTACAGTAATCTAAAGATATGCCATATCTGTTCCAATTATGTACTTTGCGTTTTTCCATAGAGCTATTGGAAGAATTTAGTCCACTGGTAGAAAGACTTGGATTTGATGAAAATTTTGTGGATATCACAGAGCTGGTAGAGAAGAGACTAGTACAACTGCACAGAGATGGCTGTTCCAAAGTATCTGTATCTGGGCATGTGTATAATAATCAACGTAAGTGGATATTCCCTATTTTTCTAGAAGATTTTATTAAATTTTAGTAAAATTTAGTACAGAAAATATCTTGATAACTAAATTTATTTAACTTTCAAAACTGCATTATAACACATTTCCTATTCAATACAGTATTGCCTCAAAGTTTGATTTTTCCAGGTGGTTACACTGCCAGGAACTGACTTGTAACATACCATAATTTCACATCTGAGAGTCTCATTATTTTGAGAATCATCTGTACTTTTCTATACTAATGTCAGTGGAATTTCAGTATACTCAGTGAGTTGAGAGGTTTTTTTGTTGTTGTTTTCAATTTGAGCTTGAAGTAATACCTTCATGTTAGTTCTTGCAAAATATCATATCAGCTGTTGCTATAATTTTTAATACAGTTGTAAGAAATAACTGTCTTAATAAGATCTCATTCAGTTAATGTTCACGCTTGGGTAGCAGAGATGGATACCTTCCATTTATCTTAATTAAACCAATACCGTATTGCTAAATCTTTAATTTGTTTACTTTTCCCTTTGGATATACTGAGGCAGGAGCCTGTTACATGATGGCATTTAAACATTATCTTTAATATGTATTAAACATTTGTAGAGTGCATTTATCCTTAAAGTACTTTCCAAACATTAAGTAATTCTTCCAATACTTCTATGATGCTAGAGTAGTGGTAACCAGTTCTTTGATCGGTATTAACTGGTAGAGTCTAGAGCCTCTGCCAGTTAATTTTGATCTTCTGGTAGGCTGTCTCTGACTCCCTGACCCCATGTTGCTCCTGGAAGCAGCCAGCTGGCTGAGTGCAGGCACATCTCCAGAGCTCCTGAGATGCGAGAATGAGGTAACTGCATGCTGCTTTTGTCTCAGCACTGTCTAAAAACAGCTTCCATTGGCCAGGAATCATCCAATAGGGGTGGCACTTGTGGGCACAGGGAGCAGTGCAGCACATGGAGATACTCCCACCCCCACCCACCCACCTGCAAGGGCTGCCCTCAGCCAGCCAGTGGTTTCCAGGAGCGGTGTGGGGCCAGGCAGAGACAACTTTCCTGAGCCCCACTCTGCTGCTACCAGCCACAGCCTGCATCCCTACCCCCGTGCCAGAGCACAGTCTGCACCCATACTCCCTTCCAAAACTCACATCCCTCACCCTGTCTTGCACACAACACTCTTCTCCCTCCTACACCCCGAGTGTTGGGGTGCAGAGTGAGAGGTGCAAGTTCTGGGATGGAGTTTGGATTCAGGAGGGGGCTCCAGCCTGGGGCAAAGTCTCTCCTGGAGCTTTCACATTTTGCTCCTACACCCCAGCTCTCTGTCCCATCCTGGAGCCACTTTCTGCATTAAACTTACTCCCAGAACCTTCACCCCCTCACTACTTCCTACATCCCTGTCCTTTGCCCCCACCTGATAAAAGTGAGGGAGGGAGAGGGAACGAGAATGGGGGGTGGAGTGGGTGGGGTTTTAGGGGAAAGGATGGAGACTCAGGTAAAGGGTAGAGTAAATCCTGCTCTTAAATTAAAGTGATCTTGGGCATAAAAAGATTGGAGACCGCTGTGCTAGAGTATTATCCTTTTAATTTTGAGGTAAGCGATTAAATTACTTGTTTGAGGTTAAACACCGAGTCCATGGAAGCACCAGAAAGAGAACCCAAGAGTCCTTATATTCAGTCCCTTGATCTATAAAGCTTTTAATAGGCTATAAGCATATGTATCTTTTTATTCCTTAATGAACCTGTAGTGATTTGAGCAGTCATTGTTAGCTGAGAAGTTTGCTTTTTGTCTCCACAGCTGTCAATTTAAATGATGTGATGCATATAAGACTTCTCATTGGATCTCAGATTGCAGCAGAGATGAGGGAAGTCATGTACAATAGATTGGGTCTTACAGGCTGTGCAGGAGTGGCTTCTAACAAATTACTATCTAAACTAGTACCTGTAGTGATTTGAGCAGTCATTGTTAGCTGAGAAGTTTGCTTTTTGTCTCCACAGCTGTCAATTTAAATGATGTGATGCATATAAGACTTCTCATTGGATCTCAGATTGCAGCAGAGATGAGGGAAGTCATGTACAATAGATTGGGTCTTACAGGCTGTGCAGGAGTGGCTTCTAACAAATTACTATCTAAACTAGTATCTGGAACCTTCAAACCAAACCAGCAAACAGTTCTTCTACCTGAAAGCTGTCAGGACCTATTAGGCAGCCTCGATCACATCAGAAAAGTGCCTGGTAAGAGACTTGTGCCACAATCTTTCATAGAAACACTATATATAATTTTATAATTTTAATATATACACTATATTTTAAAATCTAAAGTAATTTTTAAATGTTTTTTTATATTTATATTTACTTTTTGCATTTTGTGCCAACTATCCAATGAAACTATACTCATTTGTTCTAATTGTATTTTTTAGTCCATGTCACTTTTTGGTTCTGCACTAACATAAGTACTGTAATATTTGGCTTGCAAATACTTAAAATAAATGTATAAATCTCGTACTGTTTTCGTTGGAGCCCAAAAATTGTTATCAGTACTTATGTAACTTTTGGGGGGAAAAATAGCTCAATCCTAAAATGTGTAATTCTCAATTACTTGAAAATGTTGCTTCAAGGAACTTCCAGTTCTATAATTTAAAAAATGATTTATAATGTCTAGTTTTACCTGGAAAGATGCTAATATTTACAGAGAAAATTATTTTTATTTATTGACCAAATAAATGTTTAATATTTTATATACATTATACATTGCAAATACAATTTGCTAAGCATATCTCAAATCTTTTAAATAAACTTCCTGTATGCTATGTTATTCTGTAAAGAAATATTAACTCAAGTTACCACACATCCTTTTTCATCTAGGGATTGGCTATAAAACTACCAAGCGTCTTGAGTTGTTGGGTCTCAGCAGTGTGCGTGATCTACAGACCTTTTCACCTGTAATACTAGAAGAGACACTAGGAGTTTCAGTTGCTCAGCACATTCAAAAGCTCAGCTATGGAGACGATGACTCCCCTGTGGCTCCCTCAGGACCTCCTCAGGTACAAATGATGTATGAAAACACAATTTTTCAGAATGAGAAAGATGGCACTATTTGAGCACCATTTTGCTGAGCTAGCTGACATCCAGTCATAAGGAAATCAGCAAATGTCATACTGGAACAGACCAGTACTCCACCTGGTCTGGGACCCTGGCTCTGACAATGGTTAGCACAAGCTGCTTAAGGGTAAGGAATAAGAAATCCTGCAGTTATGGGATAACTTATTCCTTAAACCAGTGGTCTCCAACCTTTTTACACCCAAGATCACTTTTAAAATGGCAGAACAAGCCAAGTTCTACCGCCCCGCCCCGCCCCTTCCTTGAAGCCAAGCCCCGGACTTGAAACCCCACTCTCTCTATTCTCCTCCTTTCCATTACTTGCTATCCCCAACCCTTATACTGCTGCTTTTTTCCCCAATTCTTCTGTAGGAAGAAGTTTTTCCAACATTTGGCCTGTCTAGACTGGACCAAATGTCAGAAAACCCCCTTCTTTTGGAAGCCCCTTATTCCTTGTGGAAAGAGGAATATAGGGATGTCCGAAAGATCATGTTTGCTCTTCCACTAAAAGAAGTGGAAGAACAAACGCATCCCTGGATGCAGAAGAGTTTTTCTGGGATATCTCTGGAATCCTGAAAAACACCTGCAGTCTAGCCATACCTTCGCTAAGTTGAGACAAGATGTGTAGGCTCTGGGGTGGGAATGAGGGATTTGGGTGTGTAAGGGGTGAGAGGTGCAAGCTCTGGGAGGAAATCTGGATGCGGGAGGTGGATGATAAGGGAACGCGGGCTCGGGGAGGGGGCTCCAGGCCGGGCAGTGTTGGGAGCAGATGTAGGGATAGGGTACTAAGCAAGCCACAGACTTCTGAATGTGAGGGTTCAGGAATTTGGGTTGGGGTATGTGAGGGGCTCAGGGCAGGGGGTTCCAGTGTATGATAGGCTCAATGTCGGTTCTGGGGGAAAAGGGAGTGCAGGAGTGTTATGATGCTGTGGCCAGATCGGGGCTTGGCCCCAGTTGGGGGTTTGTTGTCCAGGCTTCATTTTTAAATAAAATAGTATGTCAAACACAAAAAGTTTCTGCATTGACTTTATTTCTGAGAAGGGCAGGGAACCTCTTTTGAGGCAGGGGTCATTGACCCACAGAAAAGTTAGTTGGGGCCACGCAAGTGAGATGCAAAAAAACCCTCCTCCAAACCTCCCCTCCCCCCAAGCTTCACTAATGTGGCCCTAGCTGTGTTGGTGGGAGCAGGGGACATAGTACTGGGGAAGGGTGCTAGTGGGTGCTTCGGCAGGGGACAGGGTGCCAGTGGGGACAGGTTTCTGAGGCTAGGGACAGGGTGCCACTGTGGACAGGTTTCTGAGGCTGGGGACAGGGGACAGGGCACTGGGAGGGCAGGGGATAGGGTGCCAGTGGGGACAGGTTTCTGAGCAAGCCCAGCACGCCATAGAGCTGTGGGAGGGGAGCAGCCAGCGCACTTCTGGAACCCCTGGAAGTATCATGAAGCTGCAGTCAGGACTTCCGTCCACCCCGCAGGAAGCCAGCACTACACTGGAGGTAGGTAGCGCGCCTTCTTGGGGGTGGGGGGGGAAAATGGGGAGTTGGTGGGAGCCCGAATGCCTCGCGATCGACCAGTTGGTGACCACGGGCTTAAATCATGGCAATTCATACCCCTTCCAAAATTATTTTAATTTTACTTATATTTACTATAACTTGGGATATTCTTGTTACTTCTATTAATGTATGATCCTTTTTTGAACTCTGCTGAACTCTAGGCCTATTGATACTTTGTGGAAATAAATTCATATGTGAATTATGTGGAAAAAGCTATTGCCTTTCATATATTTAGATTTGCTTAATCACTTGGTAGTACACAAAAGAACTATTGCATTTATTTCAGTCCCTCAGTGATGAAGATTCTTTTAAAAAATGTTCATCAGAAGTGGAAGTTGAAAAGAAAATTGAAGAACTACTTGTTAACCTGTTAGACAGGTGATTCTCTTCATTTGTTCTTATTGCTGACCAAGTTGTGACCTGATATATGTAAAATTCTTGTCTCCTATTTTACAGAGAATATATTGGTCTTGTTGCTTCTCTATCACACCTGTCTCACTAACTACTTCCTCATTACTTTTTGTCCATTATCTCTGAACTTGTGAAATGTCCCCTTTCCACTTTTGCCTCAAATTCCCCTTCTGCAACTCCATCTTGGTTCTATCTCCCAATCTGCCTTTCACCTTCCCCACTCCATTGCAACTGTTCTCACTAAGGTCTATAAGCTCTTCCATTCTTTCCTTCTCAGCACTTCTTTCTAAAGATCTTATCTTCCTTTTAGCTTTTATGATTCTGTCCACTCCTCTTTATCCTATATCTCTGATCATCTTGCGTTGTATCTTTATCCCCTCCAGTCTCTTCTATTTTCTTGGGCTATGTCTACACTGTGGCCTCTTGCGGAATAGCTTATGCAAATGAAACTCGGCGTGGAATATTGCCACGCTTCATTTGCATAATTAATGAGCAGCCATTTTTGTGCAACAGGCTTTTGTGCAAAAAAGAGCCGTGTAGGAAGAACGGCTCTTGCACAAGAGCGGGGGTTTTGCGCAAAAAGGAGCCGTCACCCCCCCCTTTGTTTAAAAAAAAAAAAAAAAGAATAGTAAAGTTAATTTATTCTCTTTCTTTCTTAATTAATGGGTGCACCACAAGTATGTCAATACTATTGTATGCTCAGGGTTCGGATTCTCTTTTCCAGACTTAAGAAACTCAGTTCGTTCAGTCTTCTCTCATAGTCATGTTTTCTAGACCTTTAGGCCCCCTTCCATCTAAACACAATGGCTACCTCCAGACTGCATCCCTCTGTTGGCAGAGGGATGCAAATCAAGCACTTCGAAAGTGCAAATGAGCCCGGGATTTAAATATCCCGGGCTTCATTTGCATCCCGAGGTTTGGGCGCTGTGCCGATCACATGCCCTTTTGAAAGTGAAAGTAAAGTCTAGCCGTGGCTCTGCTGACATATCCTGTACTCCTCATTTTTTTCACTTTCTTGATGGATTTTAAAAAGAAATACAGTACGTGATTCAATTGCTTTGAAATAAATGGTAAAACAGTGGTAATGTTAATTGCTTTGCACGCTTTTATTTTTTTCAGAATATCCAAAGATGGAAGAAAGCCACATACAATAAGATTAACCATCCGTAAATTTTCATCAGCCTATAAATGGTTTAATCGGGAGAGTCGTCAGTGTCCTATTCCATCTCAAATTATTCAGAAATTTGGGACAGGTAAAAGCTCTTCTGTAGTTTTGTTTTCAGGAAGTGTATGGTTTTTTTTGTTTTTTGTTTTAATTTTTAGTTGAATTAAGGATTCCTTTAATGAACAATATAATGTTTGAAATTGTAACAGAGGTCCCTCTTTTAATTTAAGAGGTGCCCAAGTATTTGGTACAATCATAGGAACAGTGAAATAACTTCTCTCTTGGGAAGGAAGGTTTATCTGTCTACTAATTTCAGTATCAATAAAGTTTCAAGTATTAAGGTTACCTTTATTTTGTTTTAAATTACTTTTTAAAAAAACAGCATACGAAACATTGTTCAGAAAAATAGATTTAATGTGGTTTTATATGACTGCTGAGGACTCATCACCGCAGAGAAATGTGGAAGAGTAACTTCTCTTGTCTTCCTTCCAATTCTCCTGTTAATACATCCCGAGATGATATTTACTTTTTTTTGCAACAGTTTCATACTGTTGATTCATATTTAGCTTGTGTTCACTATGATCCCTAGATCACTTTCTGCAGTACTCCTTCCTAGGCAGTCATTTCCCATCTTGTATGTGTGCAACTAATTATTCCTTACCATGTGGAGTGTTTTGCATTTGTCCTTATTAAACTTCATCCTGTTTACCTCAGACCATTTTTTTAGTTTGTCCAGATAGGGTCAAAATTATCTTCCACAGCATTCGTAACCTCTTCCAGTTAGGTATCACCCACAAATTCTATGGCGTTGTCTAAATCATGAATAAATTGAATAAATATTAATGAATAAATATTGAATAGAACCAGACACAGAACTGATCATTGTGGAACCCCATTCATTGTGCCCTTCCACCATGACTCTGAAAGATTGATAACTACTCTTTGGGAACAGTTATCCAACCAGTTATGCAGCCACCTTATAATAGCTTGAATTCAGTTGTATTTCTCTAGTTTATTAATGAGAAGGTCATTCAAGACTCTATCAAATGCCTTTCTAAAATCCAGATGGACCACATCTTCCACTTCCTCCTTATCCAGAAGGTCTGTTATCAGGTTAGTTTGACATGATTTGTTCTTTACAAATCCATGCTGCTTATTATCATATTATCATTTAGACTTTTGCAAATTGATTGCTCCATTATCTTTCCTAGTACAGAAGTTAAGCTGACTGGTCTGTTATTTCTTGGGTTGTCTTTAGATCACTTTTTATAGATAGACACTGTATTTGCCCCTTCTCCAGTCTTCTGGAATCTTTCAGGTATTCCATGACTTCTCAAAGATAATTGCTAATAGCTCAAATTTCTTGTCAGTCAGGTCTTTGAGTATTCTGTGGTGCATTTCATCTGGTCCTGGTGACTAGAAGACATTTCACTTGTCTACGTAATTTTAACTTCTTCATTCCCTATTTTCATGGGGATTCACTGTTAGGTGTCCAGTCACCACCAATCTTGTTGTGTGTTTCAGTTTTCACCAAGTCATTAAGCACCTCTGTCACACATACAGGCTTCCTTCGTTGAAGCCAGCCTTTGTCCATCCTAAATAGTGATCACAATCTTTGAGTTGCCACTTTGTAGGAGTGTATCTTTTCCCCATATCTGACCACTTTGCTATTCAGCATCATCATATCTTCTGTCCTAGTATAAACATAGGGTTTAATAAAATATTGTAATTATAGACAGGAATTAGTAAAGGGTTCCCCTCTGAACCAGTCTAGACTGGATGAGACCAAATTTATTATAATCTGATACGTTCACCTAGTCCTACATAAAGTGAATAGGTGGTCTCAGTTTAATCTTTGTCAAATATCCATATTGCACAAATTGGAATTAGCTTTCATTAACTGAATTTGTTTGAGGACGATTAAATAGAAGTGGAGAGTGAGCTACTGTCAGTTGTAAAGTAATTCCTCATTTAACACTATAGATATGTTTCACAAAATGATCGTGTTAAGTGAAAACGTATTATGCAAGGTCAGTTTTCCCACTGAAAATAATGGAAAAGATGGGGGTTGTGTTTCAAGCAGTGGTGTCTGTTGGGACCAGGACATAAGGTTGGGGGAGAAAGGGGAATGGGTTACAGTGGGGAGGGGAGGTGTTTGGCTCTGGGGAAGGGAAGGGAAAGGGAAGGAGAGGGGAGAGGGATTGGGTTGGGAGTATGCCTCTGTGATGTGTCTGCCAGGACCCGCACTGCATTGGCAAGCCCTCCGCCGCTTTGCAGGGAAGCGGGGAAAGGCCCACGCAGATGCCGGCAACGGGCCGGCTGGGGAAACTCAGCCGCCGGCCTGCAAGTGGGGGCACAGGAGAGAGGGCAAGGTGTTTGGCGAGGGGGGAGTCAGTGGGGAACGGTGCAGCGAGCAGTGAACCCTCCGTCGCTTTGGAGAGAGGCGGGGGAAGCCCTGCGCAGCCACCGGCAACAGGCCGGCTGGGGAAATTGTGTTGTTCCGGGGACGGTCGTGTAATTCAAAAAATGTTCCCTAAAAAAAAAATCGTGCTATCGTGAAAATGTGTTAAGTGGGCACGTGTTAAATGAGGAATTACTGTATAGAAAGGCTTTTTTCAGTTTAATTGTGATGATTTAAATTGACCACTTTTCCAATTATCACATTACTTTTCAACAGAGATAGCAAGGCAATACAAGGGAACTTGTATCATTTATGTCTATTAATATAGATATCCTGTGGGCATATCTCTAGTGTTGTCAATCTGGCACTCCTGGCAAGCATATAATTCAATTAAAAAAAGTTTAATTACAAGAGGCTGCTGAGTTTAGCTTTTTATTTTCAGATGATCAAATAAATGCTGCCTTGTCAGAGCTGTGGATGGGCAAAATACGGTTTGTAGGCTGGATTTGGCTTGCCAAGCTGCTGGATCCAACATGTGAACTGCCCCACCAAAACCCTCGGGCACAGAGCAGCCAGTTGCTTTAGTACAACCCCACACTGCTTTAAGCAGCTGGCTGCTCCTGGTGGTGCTCTGTTCCGGGGAGAGGGGGAGGCTTTGCATGCTGTTCCCATCCCCCAGCAAAATCTGTCAGCTATTGTCTGGAAACAGCCCAGCGGCAAGTGAGAGTTTTTGCTGGGAGGCAAGGGCAGTGTTCAAAGCCTCCACATCCCTCGGCACCCAGAGCAGAGACCCACAAGGAATATCCTGACCACTCACTAAAATCTTGGAGTTGTCCCCATCAAAAATTATTGCCCACCTCTGGCAAAGCTGTGATTATAACCTCATGTTTTCTATGAGCTGAGATTTTTGTTCAATTCATTGAACAATTAGGATAAGTGCCAATTTATTCTGCATTAGTGCAAGTGTTGAAAGTCCAGACTGTGTGTGATGTACAAACCTTAATTCCATTCATCCCCTTGTACTGTGGAAAGGTTAAATTAATTCTGTTTGTTTCCATTTCATATTTAGGAAATGATAATGTACTGACCCCATTAGTTGGTATCCTTATGAAACTGTTTAGGAAGATGATAAAAGTGGACGAACCGTTTCATCTTACCCTTCTGAGTGTCTGCTTCTTAAATCTTAAATCTTTGCCTAGTCTCACCAAAGGATCTATTGGTTTTTATTTAACTCAGTCGTCACCCCCTTCAAGTTCTGGCAAAGTAAGTTGAAGATTATCAACAACTGTCATTCAGATCACGTGCATTAATTTTACACTGGGGCAATATATATACTGCAGTTTCTTTAATGACTTTTAAATACTTTAGTCCTGGATATCAAGTTGTAAAAATGATGAACTCTGTGCGCTCTCCTGAGTACAAGCTATTTACAAGATGTGTTTATGCTGTCCTCCTTTGGTAGTTTTTTAATCTGTTTTCAATTATTGTGTCTTCAGTGGGCTAATAGTAGGCAATATAAACTTCATTACTTTGGCAATGAGAGAAGAGCTTGTTGAGAGAGGTGCTGAAGCCAAGTTTTTCAGAAGTGGATGCCTAAAATTAGGTTTCTCATTGACTTTTATGGGAGATCTGTTGCCTGCTCAGCATTTCTGAAAAAATCAGACCACTTAATTAGGTTCCTAAATGTGAAGTTAAGAGCCTACTTTTTCAGCATCCATTTTTAAACCTCAGTGCTTCTATAATATGTGGTCTGTAGATCATGGTGGAACTGAACTGACCTAAGTATTTATTCCCTCACAAAATATATTTAAGAGTTTAGCTTGAATTAAGTCTTATTAAAGTGCCCTTTACCTTTTGTGTACTTAGCTATATAGGTTTCTTCAAATACTGGATTGCTTTACTTCTGTGGACCTTATGCAAAAATTAAAATTCTGTACACAAGATTTTAAAACTCTGCAAAATTTGTCAAAAAACCCACTACGTAATCATGCCGCTTTCAATTTTTTTGAAATCAAAATACGTGTTGGCAAGTATATCTGTAACAATACACACACACACAAAATTTCCCCAGCAGTAGATAAAGAAACTCATATATTTATTTTTCCAGAGCCCAGTTGCAGCCCCCTCACCTCCCTCCACCCTCTGCAACCAATACACCTACACGCTTTGTCCGTCAAAGCCCACACACGTGGCCTCCTCATATGCTGTCTCCTTCCCCTGAGCCCAGCCTCAAGCCCCTTCCCAGAGCCCAGCTACAAAGGAAGAAACAGCCTGATCCTCAATTTTAGGCTTGCAGAGTTTCCTGTATGGCACCCTTTCCTTCCCTCAGGACATGCTGAGAACTGAAACTTCCATAAACCCTCTAGCTCAGTGAGAGGCAACCATAAGCTAGTGAGTGGGCTGCATCAATGACCCTCTTTCAGTTCAGTGGACTGCAAGATTGTTGTAACCAAGATGGTCTCCCAGGATAGGATAGTTTTGCCAACTGTGTTTGCGTACCTAAAATTTGCAGTGTGTGCAATCAGCATGTACCCTCACTTCAAGTACCCTTGCTTTACATGTGTGTCATTTTTACAATACCGGTAGACAAATAACTCTGTGGATGAAAACCAGCAGAATCTGGCAAATTTGTGTGAGAGTAACGGTAAACAAAATGTCTCATGGGCCTCGCATAGAACCCAAAGAGCTGCATGTGGCCCTCAGACTACAGATTGCCCACCAATCCTCTAGCTCTCTTCCCTTCGAGCAGTATCTTCTGTGGCAATGTTGGGCTCTGCAGGGTTTAGCAGCCCCTAGGGACAGCAGCCATTTCTCTGGGTGGGAAAGTAGAAATTCTACACTCACAACACTTTTCCCCAGAAGCACCATATGCTATTAATTCATAGTCTGAACAGGGTAGGATTTCATTTTCAGGTCTCACTTTTATCATTTAAATCCAACTATGATGTGTTGCTTTAATATGAATTTTTAATAGAAACTTAGGGAAGTGACAAAAGACCATGGTTGAAATCTTGGCTTCATTGAAGACACTAGTGAGACTCCCATTGGTGTCATCGGGGCTAGCACATTCTCAGATATCTATAGTTTTTTGTGTTTGTGAGCCACTGTACTGTTTATTATTTAAAATCAATTTTATAGTTTACATTTTTATTTTAAATTATCAAAATTCTCCCTATGTGAGCTGGTATGTGCAGGGTGCTGGCTTAAAAGTTGGCTTCCCCTGTGTACCAGCTCCTGCCTGCCCCTTTCCCCTCCTCATGGGGGCAATCTAATAGAGGCAGCAGCACGGGGAGGTAGGAAGCAGTCAGCTTGGTGGGAGCCAGTATGCATGGAAGCTTGCTTGAGAACCACTTCACACGTTTCTCCCCCTCCTCCCCATGCTGCTGATGCAGAGGCAGCAGCATGGATGGGGGGCAGTCGGCTTGGCGGGAGCTGGTACACATGGGAAGCCAGCTTAAAAGCTGTCTTCCCCATGTGTACCGACTTCTGTCTGCACCCTCCCCCCTCACAGGGGCACTTGTCTATGCCTTGCTGCCTCACATGGGCAGTAGGCTCAGTGGGAGCTGGTGCATGTGGGGAACTGGCTCCCATCTGCCCTCTCCACGCTGCTGCCTCTGATAGAGGTGGCAGTCGGCTTCCCAGGAGCCAGTACAGGCTGGAAGCCAGCTTGAAAGCTGGCTCCCCACATGTACCAGCTCCTGCCTGCCTCCTCCCACCCTGCTGCCTCTATGGGAGGCAGGGGATGGGAAGGGGCAGGCTGCTCAGAGGGAACTGGAGTGTGCAGGGAGCCAGCTTATGGGCACTGACTCCCACAGTCCCCTCCCCCCTGTTGAGTCTGATACAGAGGCATCAAGACTTTGCTGTAGCTGGGCTGTGAGACAATATTGTGAGAGACCCAGTTTAATGTTGCTTTTTAAATTACTTGTTTTACAACCCCAGAAACATTCTTTAAATATCTGGTCAATCATCAGTCTCTGTCTGTATTAAATAGAAAAATCTCTGTAGCAGAATGATTTAGTGGTAATTTTTTTCTGTGAGGAAGCAGGGTTTTTAAAGAATCACTGTCCATAAAATTGTATTCATGGCATGGTATATTTTTAATTATTCAAAATTTTTCATAAGTAGTATGTAGCTAAATAATATATTTTATGTTGCAGAAAATGGAAGGTGACCAGGTGAACTCCTGCAATTTTGTACCAGATGGAAGAATTAGAAGTATAAGAACTAGAGAATCTTCACTAGAAACTAACAAATGCAGAGAAGAAACTGGAATAAATGTTTGCTTACTTCATTTGCTTCCTGCTGGCATTGACCAAGAGGTCTTCAGTCAGCTTCCAGAAGACATTAAAGGGGAAATTGTTTCTGGCAAAACTGGGGAAAGAATCCATATAAAGAATGTTTTGAGTCAGCCATTACCTTTTTCTCAAGAAGCACAACCATTCTTAGCTCAAGAAAAAATGTACTATTCCCCAAATTCCAGAGGAGCAGATTGTACTGTCAGCAGTTCGGTAAGCAGTGAATACTTCACATCTACCAGTGAGCTGGTGAAAGCCATTATACATAGGCCTAATGCTTGTTGTATTTTCAATTTACAGGATCTTCCTGAGTATTCCGAAAGTGCACAAATGGATAACTGTATGGAGAAAATTCGGAAGGAAGCACTGAATTTCAAGAGTACTGATTCAATTGTATTGAACTTACAAAGGCAACAACATTTTCTTCAGTCCCACAGTTCAGACAGCAAAGAACAGCCCATTGGAACAGCCTCTCAGGATAAAGATCATAGAGAGCAAGCATCAGAAGAAGGAAGAATTGTATTTCCTCCTAACGTTGACCCAAGTATTTTTTCTGAACTACCCACAGAAATGCAAAAGGAACTAATGGCTGAATGGAAGAATCTCAAGCCTCTATCCAAACTGCATATGAATAAACCTGAAAAACTAAAGACAAACAAAGCAAAAAAGAATGTGGTGTTGTGTTCACCACAGTCTAACAGTTTATTAAGGTATTTTAAACCAAAGTGATTATTATATACATAATACAGAGTTGACTGGTGTAAAATACTTGTGATAAAATGAGGACACCATAAGCCTTGGAGGCAATACAATCATATTCATGCATTAAAGAAAGTTATTTTAAAGTGTATTGCAAAAAAAGCATACAAAAACAGATTTAAAACTATAACAATAAAACTATTGATAATTTCTTTTTGAAAGTGATTAATATTATGTACAGGAGACCCTGGCAATTCATGTTTCTATATATTTGTGGGGGCTCCTGTCCCGGGGAACTTGCTGCAACTGTCAGGAGCTGCATTGAGTTCCTAGCAGCTGTGGTGAGTTTCCCGTGGCTCCCAGCCTTTCAGTGAATTCCATAGCCGCAGGGAGCTCACCTTTGGGACCGGGATCCACATCTCCCAGTATTCACGGATTTTGGCGTGGATTAACTATCAGATTAATATTTTATTTAGTCCAAAGAATGCAGCAAGGGAGACTTACTTCCCCTAAAAGACACATTAGGTAAGATGAACCTCTAATTGTACAGTACATACAAAGACTTTTGGCCACCGTGGGCCAGATCCGACCTGGGGAGGCCCTGCTGCTCCCCTGCCCCAAGGCCAATCAGCCTAGGGACGGGCAAGCTCACAGCGCTTAAGAGTCAACCGCCAGGATTGACTAAGTGCTGTGCACTGGAAGGCAGGGAGCAAGAGACATCACATGCTCCCCCTGCTCCCAGGCCAATCGGGGCCCTGGGGGTGGGGGAGTTTGCACAGTTTCTTGCCACCCTGCAAGAAGTGAGCAGTGCTTCTAAGCAGTGTGCGCTTCTGGAAGGGCAGGAGGAGACTTCACATGCCTGATTGGCCTGGGGGTGGGAGGGAAGTACGCGAGGTCTCCTCCCACCCTGTGGGGGAGAGCGGGGGGGCACTTCTAAGCATTGCACGCTTCTTGCAGAATGGGGGCAGGGTGGGAGGAGACTGTGCACGCTTGTCCCCCCGCCCCCATGCCAATCAAGACTTGGAGCATGCAAAGTCTCCTCCTGCCCTGCAAGGGGCTTGGCACTTAGTCAACTGCCAGCTTCTGCTTAGCTGGTATTTGACTCTTAAGTGCAGCTTTCCCTTTCATGGCAGGGACAGGGAGCAAGTGACTTCATGTGTTCCCCCTCTCCCAGGCCCTGATTGATCTCGGGGTGGTGGTGGGGGGGAGTGCACAAAGTCTCCTCCCACTGCCAGGGACATAGGTCCCTAGAGGGAACCTCCAGCTGTACAGAACAGCTGGCAGTTCTCTCCAGACCAGGGGAGGCAAAAAGTTCATGTGCTCCCCATCCCCAGACTGATCAGTGTTTGTGCTTGGGGGAGCATGGAAGTGTTCTGGCTCAGCCCCTTCTGCCTGAGGCTCCGTACCTTCTGGGGTAGCCCTGGGCCACGGTAAAAAATTATTGCCCACTCGTGTACTAAGACATTCCAATCTAATTTGAAATGCGTACAGTTGTTCTTGTATCGTCCAAATGGCATCCGTTAGGGCTTCAGTGTTCTTCTGTTAAAACATATTTTTAATCTCTTAAAAAACAGAAAATATTTACTTGGACAGTGGGTCCTGTGAAACTAGTGAAATAAAGAGAGAATACTACTGTTTTCTCAGTAGTTATAGTCACTAACAGAAATAAAACAAATAAGTAATGTAAACCATGCATCATGTACAGATTGCTCTAATTCTCAAAAAAGGCTTCTATTATTGGTAGTTGGAACAGCTACCAAGACATTTGTCAGCATTTTCAGCCATTGATTAGGCACCTGTTTGATAAGATGCTTAAGAATGTGCTTACCTACTGTGCTGATTTACTACAATATGGATTTAGAAATACATATTTTTTAATCTTGGCCTATGAAGACTGATTACAAAATTGATGTTTAAATGTTAGCTAATTATTGTTGCAAAGTAACTTGTAATATACACTTTTGCAGTTGTTAATACCTTGCCTTTTTTTTTCAAGATGAAATAACTTTGAAATGTACTAATTTAAATGCACTAATCTAATGAGGTATTTGGCATTTTAATAGTAAATGCTTTTAATTATAGGGCAAAATCAAATTATGCTGGAATCTGACTAGTTCCTCAGAGGACATACTAATTAGCAATTGCTTCATTGCAAAACTATCTCACAATAACTGTACACAAAAAGGCTACATCTAGACTTCCCCCTCTTTGCAAGAAAATGTGCAAATGAGGCAAAGTGGTGAATATTGCTGTGCCTCATTTGCATACTTAATGAGCCTTCATTTTTTCACAAGGGGCTTTTGCGCAAAAAGGAGCCATCTACATAGCTCCTTTTTGTGTAAAAAAAAAAAAAAAAAAACCCCTGTTGCGCAAAGTCCCTTGCGCAAATATGGCGGCTTGTAAGTGTGCAAATGAGGCGTGATGATATTCACTGCTTTGTCTCATTTGCATATTTTCTTGCTCAAGAGAGCGCTATATAGATGTAACCCCCATGAACTGATCGCTGTTTCTTTGGTTCAGTGAAGTCTCACTCTATTTTATGTATTTTGATGGCAACTCAGTTCTGATTTAAAGAAAAAAGTCTGTTCCTAGAAAGCTTGTAAGTGTGCAAATGAGGCGTGATGATATTCACTGCTTTGTCTCATTTGCATATTTTCTTGCTCAAGAGAGCGCTATATAGATGTAACCCCCATGAACTGATCGCTGTTTCTTTGGTTCAGTGAAGTCTCACTCTATTTTATGTATTTTGATGGCAACTCAGTTCTGATTTAAAGAAAAAAGTCTGTTCCTAGAAAGTAGCAAAACATATACTGTTATGCTTAGTCATTATTTCTACTATTAACAGAAGTACATTAAATTAAATTAAACATTTATATTTTCCATATATATACTTACAACATTAAAAATCTCAAATCCTTTAATTTTAAAATGAACTTGGATAAAAGCTATATATGATTTATTTGTATACAACTTTCCTCTTATGTCTTGGCTGGGGTGTATAATTCCCTCATAGGCCACGTTTGCTAGACATTTAATCGTTTTTGTTGCTTTTCTCTGGACCTTCTCCAATTTCTCCACATTTTTCTTGAAATGTGGTGCCCAGAACTGGACACATTACTCCAATTGAGGCCTAATCAGTGCAGAGTAGAGTGGAAGAAAGAGTTCTCATGTCTTGTTCACAACACTCCTATTAATGCATCCCAGAATCATGTTTGCTTTTTTTAATAGTGTCACACTGTTGACTCATATTTAGCTTGTAGTCCACTATGACCCCTAGAGCCCTTTCAGCAGAACTACTTCCTAGACAGTTGCTTTCCATTCTGTATGGCTATGTCTAGACTGGCCCCTTCTTTGGAAGAGGCATGCTAATTTCGAACTTTGGAATAGGGAAATCCGCGGGGGATTTAAATATCCCCTGCGGGATTTAAATAAACATGGCTGTCGCTTTTTTCCCGGCTTGGGGAAAAGAGCGTCCAGACTGTCCTATTCAAAGTAGGAATAAGAGATCCTCCGGAATAGGGCTTTATTCCGGAGGATCGCGCCAGTCTGGATGTTCTTTTTTTCCGGCTTGGGGAAAAGCCGGAAAAAAAGTGGCGGCCATGTTTATTTAAATCCCGCGGGGGATATTTAAATACCCCGCGGATTTCCCTATTCCAAAGTTCGAAATTAGCATGCCTCTTCCGAAGAAGGGTCCAGTCTAGACGTAGCCTGTGTGAAACTGATTGTTCCTTCCTAAATGAAGTACTTTGCATTTGTCGTTATTAAATGTCATCCTATTTATCTCAAACCATTTCTCTAGTTTGTCCAGATCATTTTGAATTTTGATCCTATCCTCCAAAGCACTTGCAGCCCCTCCCAGCTTGGTATCACTGAAAACTAATAATCATACTCTGCCATCATCTAAATTGATGAAGATATTGAACTGAACTGGTCTCAAAACAGCCCTGTTGAACCCCATGTTATGCCCTTCCAGCATGATTGCAAACCATTAATAACTACCCTCTGAGAATGGTTATTCAGCCAGTTATGCACGCACTGTATAGTAGCCCTATCTAGGTTGTATTTCCCTAATTTATTGATAAGAAGGTAATGTGAGACTGTATCTAATGCCTTACTAAAATCTAGGTATACCATGTCCACCACTTCTCCCTTATCCACAAGGCTTGATATCCTACCAAAGAAATATATCAGATTGGTTTGACAGGATTTGTTCTTTACAAATCCATTCTGGCTGTTACCTATCACCTTATTGTCTTCCAGGTGTTTACGGATGAATTCCTTAATTACTTCCTCCATTATCTTCCTTGGCACCGAAGATTAACTGACTGGTCTAGTTTCCTGGGTTGTTCTCGTTTCCCTTTTATAGATGGGCACTGTATTTACCCTTTCCCAGTCTACTGGAATATCTCTCAACTTCCATGATTTTTCAAAGATGATAGCTAAAGGTTCACATACATACTTTTAACAGCTCTTGAGTATTTTAGGATGCATTTCATCAGGCCTTGGCAACTTGAAGACATCTAACTTTTCTAAATAATTTTATCTTGTTAGAATAAAAAAAGAACTTCTAAACCTATCCCATTTCCACTAACATTCACTGTGTTGGTGGCATCCAGTAACCATCAAACTTCTTGGTGAAAACCGAAATAAGTCATTAAGCACCTCTGCCATTTCCAAGTTTCCTGTTACTGTTTCTCCCTCTTCACTGAGCAATGGGCCTACCCTGTCCTTGGTCTTCCTCTTCCTTCTAATATATTTATATATCTGAATATATTTTAATATATTTATTGATCTTACCCTTTGTCCTTAGCTAGATTTAGCTTGTTTTGTGTCTTTGTCTTTCTAACTTGCCCTTGCATATCTGTGTTGTTTGCTTATATTCATCCTTAGTTAAATGGTGACTATGGTATCTGGTAATTTGTATCGACTACAGGATTAGTTAATAAGGACCACTTCGCAGAGCCATAGTAGGGACAGCTCCAGGCGCTGGCTCAGTCCCGGCTCTTGCCTGTTCTGGGAGCCACCTACACTGCGACTCTGCAAAGACTCTCCATATGGCTCTTACTACATTTAAAATGCAGAGGTGCAGCATCCCGGAACCAGCATCAGCTGGGACTGCTTGGTCCTGGCTTGTGCTGAGTCCACCAGCCCCTGTTTGTGGCGGCCAGCACTGTCTGCCATAAACGGAATGCTGCCAGAGCAGCCTCTGTT